TTTTTTTTTTTTTTTTTTTTTGCAAAGTATATTATTTATAAAAAAATCCCATTATGACCCTGGAGGCCTTAACACTCCAACACTTTCTTCTCAGATAACCAGGACATCTCTCTCCCAGTGTGCAGAATTCAAGTGTACATGGTTTACCTAAGTGTATATTTATGTTTCTAGAGAGACTCAAATAATCAACATGGAAGGGTACCACATGCCAGCGTAAATGGGAAATTTGGCAGTCTGGCCTTTTCACTTTTTGCCACCAAAAATACTCTTAATAATACTGATAGATATATGTCCTACTTTCCTGCCAACAGTACAGGCAGGTTGGCACCAAAAATGTTTGATTTTCAACCTTTCCAACAAAAAAGGGTATTTCACCCTAGTTCTCTGATGCTATGGGTCAGGCCTTGCACATTTGAGGTTTAAGATTCCAGGGGACCCAGTCCCTGGATGTGTGTAACATTTCCAAGAGACCTTGACAGTCACCTGCACATGACTGCACATTATAAACAACATTTCAAGGTTTAATGGGGCTTATGGCTTCTCCTGCTGAAACAAAGCAGGAAATTAAAACCCAGTATCTGACCCCACACACTTCCTATTCAGAAGCTGGTTTCCAAATACAGATTGCAATGTTACCTGGTGGCCTGGAAAACAGCATCACCAACTGGGAATGCAAAAAAAGGGGAAATAGAGAAAATGAGGTAAATGGAAACCCTATTAATGACATACAGAAACTGTAAACTTAATCTAGTGACAAAGTAGATTTTGGTGATTACAGTATGAGACTCTACTGTCACTACTTTAAAATAGCTCAGGCCAGAATGCCAAAAGCCCTTTGAGCCCCCTAAACCAGTGTATACAAAGGCCCCTGTAACACATTGGCAAACTCAGAAATGTGCACAAATAAAGCATGTGTACGTTTACAGGCGAAGAGTTGTTGATTTTCATTCAATACATTGGGCAAGAGCTGCTGTGAAAGGCAGAATAAGACTGGATAGCTCAAGGATCTGCTTTGGAACAGCAGCTCTCATAGGCCTTTCTGCTGTGTGCCATCTTAAAGGAAAACTGCAGCATAAAAAACAAGAATCTAATTACAATTCCAAATCTCTGCACAGAATAATTAGCAAACAGGAAATTGCCTTTGCAACAGAGTATGACTCTGAGGAAGCACCTGAATGTGCAAGGCAGCAGAAATCTCAGAAGTCATTGTAAAATAATTCTGTGTTGTTAATTTAGCAGTCAGTTTAATAATAGTTAGCACTTAATGACTGTTAATTCAAATAACCTGTGAGATAGGCAGTATCCCTATTGTAGAAATAGGGAAGCTTAGGCGCAGGAAGGAATTCACATAAGGAAACCTGGGGCAGAACAGGGATTAGAATTCATCAATTTCTGGCTTTTAGTCTCAAGCTTATTCCTTCAGACTAAGCAGTTCCTGTAAACCAGTGGCTCTCAACCTTTTTTTTCAGCTTGGTGCATCTCTTGAAAAATGGTTAGATTTTCATTTGTTTTTTGATTATAGAAAAATAACAGAGTTAATCTTTTGTTGCAAAGAACTCAAAAAGACCACAACAGGTCTGAATTATTTTAACTATACAGATTTCTATTTGAAATCATCTCTGGGGCTTATTTGTAAATTTAACAGTGGTTACATGGCATGGCACCACTTGGCACCCTGAGAATCATTGCTCTATGCTCTCACACAATTCCAAAATGAACTGGACAGGGATACATTTTTCTAACCTTTGGGAAATTCAGACTGTGTTAATTAGTGTCCCATTAAAATGTAACGCTAGAAGGACTATGAGGTTTTTGTGCTGAGACAAATAATTGTCAAATAATTTTAAAGTGCTGTGTTCCTCCACAGTGTTATATCAGCATCACTTTATATACAACAAAATTATCACTGCAGTTTTCCTTTAATCCATTAACCTCTTTGCCCTTTTAGCTTTTTTCTTGCTTTATAGAGAGAGATTCAACTAGGAAGTCCCAAGAAAGGCATTTAATTAAAGAAACCTCAGTGTGGGGAATTACCAGGGGGATCTGGGGCCTGCTCCTTGCATATCACAAGGTAGCTTGGATTCTGAACCCCCCCCCCCCCC